AAGTGGCCTTTGTTCTGGCACAGCATGTGCATGCAGGAATATATTCACGTGTATCTTTTTCTAGTAGTCTAACAGAAAATGTCTTTCAAAAGTAGGATGATGGTGGCAGGCAAACCTGGGGATGCGCAAGACCTGTGAGCAAATAAAGCAGCCACAAAATAACAGTTGGGAGGCCTGAACCTGGGTCTAGCTTAGTCTTCTGAGCCAGTCTAATGGGGTCCCTTAGTTCAAATCAAATCAAATCAAATCACTTTTATTGTCACATCACATGTGCAGGTACATTGGTACAGCACATGTGAGTGAAATTCTTGTGTGCGAGCTTCACAAGCAACAGAGTTGTGCAAAATACAATAATGTAAACAAGCAAAATACAAGAATGGCTACATCTGAAACTAATAAATATATGTACAATATATAATAGTATATGCATTTCTGGATGTGTATACTAAATATTTTTCTACGTGTGTGTGTGTACACATATTTTACAAATTAAATAGAGTAAACAATAAATAAAATATATAAAAATATACAGAGTTGAGACATGTGCAAAACAGTGGCATTACTGTACAGTATGGAGTGCATAATGTTAAAGTTCCAGTAGTGAAGCTGAGGTGTCTATGACGTGTTCAGCAGTCTGATGGCCTGGTGGAAGAAGCTGTCTCTCAGTCTGCTGGTACGGGACCGGATGCTGCAGAACCCCCTTCCCGATGGAAGTAGTCTGAACAGTTTATGGCTGGGGTGACTGGATTCCTTGATGATCCTCCCCGCTTTCCTCAGGCACCGCTTCCTGTAGATGTAGTTCCCAAGTGATTCATGAGGAGAGTAATGAAGATGACTTTTTGTTTTCATTTTCCAATAGTCTTTGCAAAAGCGTCCTCTCTTGCTCCTTCTGCTGCTTAAAGTTATTAGAAAAGCCAGGAATGTCATCTAAATATACAAATATGTTCAAAAGGTCTTTCAGTAAATTGCCTGTATTTGTATAGCGCTTTACTAGTCCCTAAGGACCCCAAAGCGCTTTACACATCCAGTCATGCACACATTCACACACTGGTGATGGCAGCTACATTGTAGCAACAGCCACCCTGGGGCACACTGACAGAGGCGAGGCTGCCGGATACTGGTGCCACCGGGCCCTCTGACCACCACCAGTAGGCAACAGGTGAAGTGTCTTGCCCAAGGACACAACGAACGAGACTGTTCAAGCCGGGGCTCAAACCGGCAACCTTCCGATTACAAGGCGAACTCCCAACTCTTGAGCCACGATCGCCCTCCTTAATGTGACCAAGGTTGTATGCATTTCTCAAGAGTAAAATAGTAAGGGCAGTACAGAGGCTCAAAAGCTGAGAAGATTAGAGGGAATGGATACTTGTTTTTCATAGTTATCTGGCTTAATCCTCTATACAAAGTCTAAGAGTTTGATCTTTCCTTTCTCTAAAACACAAAACAAAAACCTTGGATAGATGACTGATTCCAACAGCCAAGGACTCAGATCTATTTCTCCACAGATTTTGTTCTGGTTGAGAAAAGTTGTGCTGCCACATGTAGGGTGTAGAGGCAGGAGATCAGTCGCACAGTCCTAGGGCCTGCTAGGAGGCAGATACGTCTTTTTTACTGAAGACAGGAGGCAAGTCATGGTATTCTTCTTTGGTCTGGTGGCGGTGCATTAGTACCTTCTGGAGAAGGACGGGATAGGGGAATAGCAGATTATAGAAAATGAGAATGAATCCAACTCACAGTCCTCTTTTCTTGCTAGTTAATATGTCGGTTATGTTTTCTTTTGTCCCATGGTAGATGATTAGGTAGAGGATCATTAGGGGGTCCTTTGTCCCTCTTGGGGGGGCACTCCCACAGGGCTTAAATCTGGGACTGTCCACCTTTTGACCTTAGAACTGAAGAAGCTTCTGGGATGAGAGGTGAAACGTCTTCAAGCAACTTAAAGAAGTCCAGACGCTTTTCTTCCTAAGCTCCTTAGACTACGATGACCTGGATGACTGAGAACCTTCACAGACATGTGGGTTATGTCTTTGCAGCCATGGATAACTGATGATGGGTGTACGTAGACCTGAAAAAATTTCCATGTACGCAGTTGAATTGGCTCCACCAATAGAAGGCAAGGTGGAGCATGGTGAGATGTTCTCTACAAGCTGAGGCTGGCTGGGTCTTGCATTCATTTTTCTGAGTGCTCTCTCTGAGGTATCTATCTATCACAGAGCCGAGAGCCTAAGTATTTAGTGACTCTAATTCATCCTTTAAGTGGTCACTCAAAGCATGATTGAAGGTATCTTTCAAAGCCTTGTGACCGCAACCCACCTCTGCAGCCTCTTGCTGCAGATTAAAAACAATGAGTGGGGAGCTATCTGGAGGTTGGATCAGAGGTGCAATCATTTTTCCAGAACCGGTGACTTTAGGCAGTTTGCATCTATAGTCTGAATAGCAGCACTTTGTCTGTGTGCTGAGTCTGTTGCTTGAGTCCAACCCCTCATGACAAAACAAACCAGATGGCCAAACTCCAGACTTCTCAGACTCAACCCACAGATGGCAGTTTATTAAAAAAGGTACTGAAGTGTTCTGGAGGCTGGCTTGGAAGAGAGAACTGAATATGAGTACACAAGTGGAGATCCTGCAGAAAAGGAAAGTGGGAGTTATTCCTGGCCATTGTGATCTCTGATGTTTCCTCTACTTTGAGTGAAGAAATGGAAAAAGCCATACTTACTAGGGGTGCAACAATACTCGTATCGATATTGAACCGTTCGATACAGTGCTTTCGGTTCGGTACGCATATGTATTGAACAATACAACATTTTTTATTTATTTTATCAACTTT